GTTAGCCTGCAGCCTGAGGGCTGGGGGCAGCCCAAGGACAGCGTCTAGCGGGGACGCTCTGAGACAAAGATCGAGAAGAGCATTGTCATACCCCACATGTTTGTGTGGGGACGGCGGTGGAGGAGCGAGGGTCGCGGCTCGCTCAAACCCCTCATCTAATCTGGAGCCGGGAAGGTGGGAGTGGGAGGGCTTGGCCCCTGTCGCCGGTTGTTCCAGTTGAAAGAGGCTTTCACTATAATTGGATTTTCAAAAAGAAAACAGCCCTTTAACTTGCCACTCTTCTCCCTTTGACTTGCTAATGGCTCCTCTCTTCCCCCTGCGGCTGCCCACCCCCATTCCTTAGGGAGTTTGCAGCTGCCACTCTGGGGGGTCAGCTCTGGGGAGGGGGTCTGAGCTCTCACAGGAGACAACAGGCCAGCTGAAGACTCCAGTGGCCACACCAGGCGGGGCAGCCAGGGCACTCTTGCAGAAGCTTCCGGAGACTGGGTGCACAGTCTTCCTCCAGGCCCAGGCACACCCCTGCGAAGGGTCTCTCATTCAGGGACAGCCTCCCAGTTCCTGCAAAGGGAGCCAACAGCTGACCAGCTGGCCTCTGGTGTCACAGCGGCAGGCGGTGGCACGTAGCTGGCATTTGGGAGCCAAGGGGGAGCTTTCCCCTTATGGATCTAGGCGCCTGGACAGATATTTTTGTAAGGTCTTGAGAACTGAAAAGTTCCTGCCCCCTGCCCTCCTCTGGACAGCCGGCCGGTTCACCAGCAGGGGATAAGGGGATAAGGTCTGCCCGAGTTGCTGGGCCCGCGTTGCTGGGTGGACCCAGCCCACTTTGTAGGGTGGACGTGGCTTCTGACCTGGGGTAGTAGGCTGGGGCGTTGCTCAGTCCTTCAGGCAAGCATGGAGTCCGGCCCTGGAAGGGCCGATCGAGGAGGCCTGTCTGCCTCCCAGGCTGGGGCAGCTCTGAAAGTGAGCAGCATGGCATGCGCCCGCCCCGTGGGAGGCAGCCTTCTCTTATCCCTGCCAGTCTGAGACCTGGGAGCGTGGAGGCCAGTTCTGCGTCCTGGACACTTGGTCTCAGTTTTTCGCTGGACTCTTCCTAACTCCCTCTTCGCCCCATCCAGAGCTCAGGCTTTCTTCCCCTGGGCTTCTCTGAGTCTGACTGTTGGAGGAGCAGACTTATCCTCAGGCAGATTCTTGAGCCCGCCAAGGCCGTTTGATCCTGCAAGGCAGTGGAGGTGAGAAAACGGGTCAAGTAGATAGGTGTAGGAGAGGAAGCCCACTCTAAAGCCCTGGGGCTGCCGGGGACCTGAAACATTAGCCTCCAAGGGCTGCAGAGTGCCCTGTCCTTTTGTCCTTTAGATGTGTAATCCCAGACTTGTGGAAGTCAGGGACCAGTCTGGGACCACAGAGGGTTGAGTTGCAGAAAAGCCTCTCACAAACTTATGATGCTATTGCTTTAAATTGATGTAGTAAAGGGAAAGAGAGAGAGAGAGAGAGAGAGAGAGAGAGAGAGAGAGGAGGAAGAGGGAGAGGGAGGAGGGGGGGGGGGGGGGGGAGGGGGGGGAGGAGGGGGGGGGAAGGGAGGGAGGGAGAGAGAGAGAGCGTGCACGTTGAGTCTGGTTCCCAGCTTTTCACTTACTTAGCTGTGTGACCTTAGGCAAGCTCCGGACCTTTCTGGGCCTTACTGACTTCATCTCTAAAATGGGATTCATCATCGCAGGCTTGGTTTTGGGGGAGTGTGAGGGGAGCTGGCCCTGGGGGAGGGCTGCTGCAGAGCCGTCCATACATTGGTGTCAGGTTTCCATTCCTTCCGTCCCACTCACATACAAACAAGCAAATAAATGTAAAGGCGGACGTCACTGTAGAATAATGAAACAGGGATCTGGAAAAATACAATTAAATCCTCATCTTTTGACCCACATATTTTGTGGCTCAGATTCTCATAGTTGTGGGGCTCCAGTGTTTGCTGCAATGAGGTTTCGGAGAGCAGACCCAAGGTGCAGCCTCAAGAAGCAGTTTTGTCCCTGGGGCGGGAGGGAAAGGCCTTGCGGGCTGTTTGAGGGCTCCTTGGAGGCAGTCCTCCCTGACCCCCAGGGGGAGGATAGTCATCTTGTTTGGGTCTGTTGATATTTTCCATTTTGTTTGCATGCGCCAGTCAAGAGGAGGCTAAACACAGACCCGAAGGTCTCCACCCCAAGTCAGGGAGGCCTGAGGCCTGGCAGAGCTGAGGAGAGGGACAAGGCCTGTGGCAGGCCCGGGGTGCTGAGGACAAGGGCGGAGGTCACCCACAGCCTCTCACCATCCTTGCCCCGATGCTGCAAGCTGTGCTGTGCTCCTGATGACTTGGTGGACAGCTCCTGCCCGGGCCACACACGCAAGGGGAGCCACAGAGGAACCCCGTGAGAATCCCCGGGGAAGCAAAGTCACCCGTGGAGGTAACTGGGCTGTGCTTACCAGGTGCCCCAGAATTACCCACCAACCACCAAGAGACTGGTCAAGGTGGCCCGAGGCTCGTGGGTGCTGGGCCCCAGTGGCCCACACAGGTGCCCACATTCCCCACTCAGCACCTGCCTGCTGGTGGGGAGCCTCTCTCCTCTGCGGCTACACCCGGGCTGCTTGGTAAGAGGCCTGCTCTCCTGGGGCGAGGAAGTGCCTGTAGCCCCTAACCCTAACCCTAACCCTAATCGGTGCCCCGAGCTTCAGGGCAGAAGGCGGTCAGCCGAGGGGCCGGCCTTGCTTCCTTGACCAGCATCCTGAAACACAAACACTGGCCCCAGACACAAGCACTCAGCCAGCGTCTCCACATCAATCCTCAGCACAACCCCAGGAGCAGGCAGGATCACTGTCCTTCCTGTGGTCCTGTTCAGAGGAGGATGGCAGGGCAGCGAGAGGCACAGAACTTCAGCCAGGCCTCCGAGTAGAAATGGCACGGCCCAGGATGGGGACCAGGCAGGCTGGGGGCTGTGCTCTGCTGAGCCACCTCTCAGTGCTTCTGTGGGTGACATGCTTGCTCTGCAAAGCTGGGTCAGTGGGGTGCCCCTGGGGGGTCTGGAGCTCCCATCCAACCACAGGATCCGTCCTCAGCGCTGCACACACAGTGGCCTGGCACAGAGACGAAGCAGAGGAGCAAGGAGCTACCAAGGAGCAACAGTGACCTCGCAGAATTCCACTGATGTGCATGATTCCCTGCTGACCCTCTTCCACCTGGGGACAGCTGCAGCGGAGGGTCGGACGGCAGTGCCGGCTCACATGCGTGTGCGCAGGCCTGCGTTGCTACAGCACACCTTTCCCTCCGCAGATGTGTGGGTGGCGAATTGGAACATACCTTGGGCGTAAGGGTTTATGTAGGAAGGAGTGACTGTTTATGAGATTTAGGAAGGAGCATATTTAGTATGAACTATTTTCTGAAACATTTACGATCTTACAAGAGAGGAGAGCTGAGGAGCAACTGAAAGGAGAATCGTGCCGCGGAGGAGTCCAGGTGGCCTGCCTTCTCCTTCCCTCCGCTGTGGCCTCTGGATCTGTGAACTTTGCCACCAGCCCTGGTGTCTGGCTGGCGAGGAAGATGGCGTTTGCTCTTGTTTTAGGAAACCAGAGGACACAGAGGCCCAGGGAATGGAAGTCTGTTTTCCCAAACGCCTGGGTTTAGGTGGCTCTCACGGGCCAACTCAGTTTGGGCTCAGTGATCCTCACAAAAGAGTGAAAAACTGCGGTTAACATTTATTGGGCACCTACTGTTTGCCAAGCACTCCAGGGATTGGTGCTCATCTCATTTAACATGCACATGGGAGGTCAGACTCTGTCACCACCATCCCCATGCACCTACGAGGACCCCGTGCACCGATGAGGATGAGGAAGTATGGTAGGGAGGCTGAGCCTCTGCCCAGGAGACCTCACTGGTGAGGAAGAGCCGCTCCAGCCCGGGCAGCCTCAGCCAGGCCTGTGGGGCAGAGCCCCAGACCCACCTCGGGGGCTCCGCGTCCCTGCACTCCTCACGCCCGTGGTCCCTTTGTCTTTGGAACACAGGTAATTGCTGAAAAGGGACAGACACTGGCGAGCGCTGGGCCCTCCACAAGGCTGGGCGCTTTCCCAGTTGGACGGCGCCTTGTGTTAACAGGCAGAACCCTGTTCCCGCCCTGCCCCGTGCTCAGTCTCCTAGGAAGGCAGGCGGACCTCTCAGGCTGTGCCCCAGGAGGAGAGCTGCCCCGGGGCCGAGGAGCAGGCTTCCTGACTGCCCTCCTTGGCAGTGATCCCAGCCCTTCCGCTCTGACCCGTGTGGCCCGCTCCCTGTTGGGAGCTGAAGTCGCAGAGCTGGTCAGGGCCTGTGGTCTTCTGGTCTGACCCATCGGTTACAGGTAACGACATTTGGGAAGGCAGATGGGCTCACCCAGGACTTATGGCTGTTCTCCGTCCTCAAACTGGATTCTCCTGGTCCTCTTGGGGCCACCTGAGATGACAGGAAGAGGAGCAGGGGCTGAGCCACAGACAGTCCTCCCAGTGCCCCCCACGGGCAGAGGGATGGCCTTCTACGGCACGGGGACTAAACTTTTAAAAGCCTGGGCGATGGTGAACATGTAATAAAGCTTGCTCTCTTTCTGTGAAAATGTGGTGGCTGGTATTAAATTCAGCCAGAGTTCCGCCTGTCGGCTTTGTCTAGAGGGGGCTGCCCGTTCTCAGTGTGCCGCCAGTGCCCTGCAATGCTGGCAAAGTGGAGGGAATGGTGCTCTACAGGGGGCCCGTCTCAGAAAACCCCACTTTAGCAAATTCTCCCTGGACAATGCTCAGGGGCCTTTACCAGGAACCTCCAACCTGTGATTCTCAGGAGACTGGGGCCCCAGGCCAGGGACCTGGCAAGTCCGGACCAGGCCTCTCCCCCTCTGCCATCTAGGGACCTGGAGATCCTTGCTCCCTCTTGTCCACCACTGTGGGTGGGTGCTGTGGGCAGGGGGAGGTCTAGGTTAAAGGTCATGCTAAGATCCTGACGAGATCTCGTATTTGGTATCCGGATGTCAAGGACGGAGAAGTCCGTGATCTTCAATTCAAAAGGCTCCTATGAGAAGTCGGATGGGGGTGGGGACTGTCTAACAGACATCTGGGGTGTTTTCTCCCAGGCTGGTGGCCTGGGGTCCTTCTGTGCCTTGGCACCTCCCTTGTCCCCTGTTCACTTTGCCTGTCACCAGTGTCGTGTGGAAGCCCCCTCCTGGAGGGTGTGGCGCACAGAGCTGCTGTGCTTGGTCAGCCCCAGCAAGGTGGGAACCCAGGAGAAGGTCGGGAGAAGGCCCGCGGGGACCCCTGCCAGCCGCTCACCGGCATGGCGTGCCAGGCTGTGCGGCATGACTTGACTGGCGAGTCCTTGCCCTGCAGGAGTGCAGAGATGGGCTGCCATCAGAAGCCCCCAAACATCTGGAAATTAATGACTTGTGACATTTTTTCTCGGGGTGGGTGTGAGTAGATCCAGAGAAGTTCGGTCTTGAGGATCTAGAACAGACAGCGCTGTGTACATCACCCAAAGGGAGTGTCGCCGCAGGAGGTGGCTCATGGCGCTGCAGGGCGGTGTGGTGTTCAAGGACTCCAGCACTGAGAGCCTCCTGGGCACGTCTCGGTGGCCCAGTGGGCACAGGGGGTGCCAGCACGTGAAACGGGTGCAGAGGGACAGGCGGTTCCTCTGAAGGGGACCCCCAGGCGCCTCTCGTTTGTTAGCAACGGCATCCCGTTCATCTGCACCAGCCAGCCTTGTGACCTGGTCCTGGGTGGGAAAGGGGCGCACAGGCCAAGGCAGGCACCGCCAGAGGCTCAACCTGGGTCCTGGGTCGCAGTAATTCAGGGCAAGCCCTGGGGTCCTGCTGAACCTGCTTCCTGTCTGTCTGAAGGGGCTGAGTCCTGGTCTGCGGATCACTCCCAGGCAGACTGAGGTCTGTGTGCAGCTGCAGCCTCCAGGGAGGGACTGCTTGTCTGTCATGCTGAACTTGGGGCCAGGCACAAAATCAGCATCCAAAAAATAGTTTGATTAAATCAGTACCAGTAATTGCCATGGAAATAATAGCACATATTTATAGAGTTCTGTGAGTGTCAGGCATGACATAGTGGCTAGTGTGTACTCAGACCCACGAGCTGAAAGAGCTAGTGATTTTTGTGCTGTGCTGTGTGGCCCTGAGCAAATCTCTCAACCTCCCTGAGATGATTGCCTCTTCTATGAAATGAGATGGTCCTTTAAGTCCTAAAAGTCCGATTTCTAAACAAAAACAATATGGGCTTATTAATTTATAGCATAATTAATTTGGAATTGTGATTAAATGGGTCATGGTATGAACTAATTTGTATTTGCTCATTCACAAAAAATAATAAGGAGAAAAGGTTGTTAAGCAGCTGAGATGATCGGAGAGGTGTTGAGCCCATTTAAAGTGCATCTGTTTTCAACAATTTAGAAAGCATAGTAGGAGCGTCATTAGCATATTAACGGGGTGTTAATTACAAAAGAGTCTTTTAAAGCAGGTTTTATAAAATCCCCACTTAGTAACCATTAGCTTGTGGTACTTGAAACACAAACTATTCACGTGTGTTACTTAGAAGTAATAAAATTCTAATTTAAAAGTAATCTGCCAACTTGTCACGAATTTAGACTGATTTTTCTCTCAATTGATCCAAATGAGTGAGGTTTTGCTATAATTATATATAATGCTAGTAATAATGAGGCCGATTATCAATCTTTCCCTGCTTTTCACTACCTCGTCATTACAGATTTTAGGGGAGGGGCAGGGAGTAGGAGAGGGGAGGAGGGGGGCAGGGGGTGGGGAGGGGGAGAAGAACAAATGCCCCCTCCCCCCCAGCACCGGCGATGCACCCCTTAAGCTGTCCTGGGGCTGCGTGGGTCCAGGCAGAACCGTCCTGTCCACCACAAGGGCCCAGGCAGAACCATCCTGTGTGACACAAGGGCCCACTGGCAGCTGGTTCAGCTGGTCCAGAGGGCCTGGGCACAGGGCATCAGCCCAGAGCTGATGCCCGCAAAGACTCCGGGGAGGGGCCGGGCCTCCTCACTCTCCACCTCGTTCCTTTATTTTCCACATTGAGAAAGCCAGGAAGGGCCCTGGCCTCAGAGAAGGCCCCTCCTAAACTGGAGACTGATGGCTCCAGTCTGTTTTCCTCCTCTGTTCAGATGCAGAGCTTCGCATCTCCAGAACAGGTCTCAGCACCTCCCCGTCCAGTCTCAGGATGGCCGTGCAGCCAAACCCTCACGGGAAAGTGCTTTGAAAACGCTGATAGCAATTCAGGTACAAGAAATGCCAATCGACAACCCCAGCCTCTGGCTCTTTTATAGAGGGGTGGGGGGTTGGCCTGGGCTGGGGCCCTGCTGAAGGGAGCCAGGGCAGGCTCTGCATTGTGATGGGCTAGTGCCAGGATGGGCCGTTCCGGCCAGAAAGGCTCAGGGCTGGATCCTCAGGCCAAGAGTCGGGCTGGCGAGGGCAGGAAGGGCTGTGGGGTCACTGCGGGAGGTCAGAGTCACAGCGCCATACGTGCTGCGTTTCCTGGACTCAAAAGACACGTGCCCCGGTTACTAGCCGCATTCCTTTTGGATTTTGCCTGTGTACAGTGAGGGCAACAGGAGCAGCCAAGTCCAGCCATGTGGCGAGAAGCGGGTTAATGTGTGTGGTCGGGGCCTCGGGGCTGCTGCCAGTTGCTCAGTAACACTAGCTAGGCTGTTGTTGCTGCTACTCAGCGGAGGAGATGACATAAAAGTGTCAATTAAAGTCCTTCATGGGGTGGGTGGACCTGCTGACGAGGCTTGCTCAGCAGTCTGTGTGTTAAAAGCCAAGGAGAGAAAGGACACGTGAGTTTCCTTAGACAAAGAACAAGCCAGGTGTCTGGGTATTCTGTGATTGTCAAGTATGTGCCACATCTCTCCCCTGGAGGCAGGGAGGCAGGCTTCGGCGTGGCCTGTCCCATCGCAGAGAGATGGGTGGGCTGGGGCCCCTCGATGCCCGCCGACTTAAGTGGCAAGTCCTGCTCTGAGGAGGACCTGACCCTTCCCCATCCATGGGCTCAGAGTTCCCATTCCCTCCTGAAGAGGCTGCCAACCAGAGAGCACACCCTGCACCCTGGCACAGCAGCCCAGGGTGGACGGCCGCGCCATTCGCTCCCTTGTCGGCCAGTCAGAGGGACTCAGGCTTGACATTTCCCTCCCATTGGCTGGGAGGAGGTTGCTAAGCAACTCCCTCACCTTGGTGGGAATCGGTACTTCTCCTGCCGGCTTCTCTTTCTCAGCAAGTCTCTCTCTCCTCTCCTGTTCTCTTGCTCGCCTGCTTGAGTGAACACACACACACACACACACACACACACACACTCTTCACTTGTTTAGAGATTTCCCAGGGCTTTTGTTCTGGTAAACATCAGCAATGTTGATTTCTTATGTGGAGGAGATGTTGATCAGCTCTACATCTAGTTACTCACAGTAATCAGCAAACACCATACTGTTCATTAACTTAGTCACCAACTATTCCTTTTTGGTATTCACCGTGTTCCAGACACAGTACTAGGTGCTGTGATGATTGCCATCAGCAAAGGGAGGGAATTCAGAATGGGCATCGTGTGTCAGGGTGAATTATGGGGAGACCCGGGGCTCCCTAGGAGTGGTTGGGCTGGCTGGCATAATGGGGGGCTCTCTGGGCTCAGAGCAGTGGTATTTCTGAACCATTCAGAAAATTCCACATTGTGAACAACTGGTGTGTCTGGAGCAGGGCTTGGCGATGACACCTTAGCTGAGACCCACTCCTCACCTGCGTGAGGCCACTCTTCACACACACCCTTGTCTGCCACGGCCCCACACCACACTTGTCCTGACCTCACCACACTTACAGGGGTAGTGACAGGGTCCCCATTGCTGGGCTGCTGGCTCGGGGGCCTTGTGAGCTTCTGAGCCACATGAATGACTTGATGTGGCACCGAGGCGCCTCAGCTCACAGAGGTCCCATCTGGAGAGTGGTGAACCTGGGGTCCACCTGGGGCCCACCTGGGGTCCACCTGGGGCTTCTGGCCTCAGCATCACCTGCTTCTCCACAGCTCACCCCCGGAGCCTCGGGGCCACAGTGCACACAGGGACTCGAGATTCTTGTAGCGTCAGGTGCTCTGCAGATCCCTACCCAGGCTTGGCTCCTGGGGACAGGCAGCATCTCAAACTGAAGCTGCCACGTAGCTTGAGCCTCAGTGCGGTCCGGCGGATGACGGCAGGTCCTCGCAAGATGGTTAGACTCAGACGGTCCTGACCTCCACCTCTGGCACCTCCTTTGTTCACCCAGCGTCAGGGAGCCGTGTTCACCCAGTGCTCAGGAAGTGTGAGAGCCGGAGGGAAGTGTGCAGGTCGCCAAGTGCCAGCTTCCTCCTGGGGAGATGAGGCTCGGGACTGCAGAACACGTCTCTCGACCTGCTGCCAGGAGAGAGGAGCCCCCTGAGAAACCCCATCAGTAGGTCATTTTATGAAGCCATTGCTGGGGAAAGAGAATGCAATCTACAGACACAGTCTCCAGGCCTCTGGGCACCTGGCCGAGGGCAGGGTCCTCACACACAGGGGACTGGGCTGGGGCTGTCTTGGTCGATCCTATGGCTGTGACAAAACACCTCAGACCTGGACACTTAGGCGTAACAGAAATGTGTTGCCCAGAGTTCTGGAGGCTGGAGGGGCCACAGCAGATTGGGGCCAGAGAGGACTCTGTCTTTGCTTCCAAGAGGGAGCCTCTCACCCAGTCCTGAACCCTCACATGAGGGAAGGAGTGAAGCCAGCCGGGAACAGCCCCGTGTGGTTGTAAGAGGAAGGGGTGGAAGGGCCAGGCAGCTCCCTGGCTCCCTCAGAGGGCCCTGGTGGGTGGAGCCTGGAGGCTGGCTCACCGCCCACAGGCACCTCTCACTCTTCCCTCCTGAGGGTTAAGTCCCAGAATGAGTTTGGAGGGACACGCGATCAAGCCGTGGCAGAGACCGAGAGTGGACGGGCACCAGAGAGAAGCTGGACTTCAGATTCGGACTTGGCCTGGCCTGGGCTGAGGGACAGAGAGAAACCACTCTGGATCAATTTGCTGGAAATGCCACTTATTCTTAAAAAGGAGCCGCCACTGCAGCTCGGATGCTTCCGCGGGAGCCGGTTGATAGTTTTGTGCTCATTTATAGCTTAAGCAAAAGGCCCGGTGAAGAAAGAGAACAGACCAGGCACCATAGACAAGTGTGTGGAGGACCCGTGGTACCTTCGGGGCTGGAGACTGTGAGCTGCGTCTGCGAGAAGGAGTAACTTCCCGTCCAGAACACTCCAGTTAGAAAAGCCATTGTTCTCCATCTTTTCTAAACGCAAAGCTATTTATTTCTAACTTCTTGGAGAAGCAAAGTACCAAAGGCCATTTACGTGAGATGTATGTATCCATTTTATTTTTAAAAAATATGTCATAAAATAGCCCACCTCTTCTCAGTCATTGACTTGGCAGAAATTAGCCACATTTTTTAAAAAATATTTTTTAGGTGTCAATGGGCTTTTATTTTATTTATTTATATGCGGTGCTGAGAATTGAACCCAGTACCCCCCACATGCTAGGCAAACGCTCTACCACTGAGCCACCACCAGCCCCAGCCCCATTTGTAAGATCCTTAAAAACCAAACTTAAACTTGCTATTTCATCTTCTCCCAATTTGCTATTCTCACCACTGCACTGACAAGTCAGGTTGCCTTAATTTTTATTAATAATAACAATAACAACCATCTACTATAAATTTCAGATAACTTTGATGATACCACCTGATTCTGTTTTGAAGTGTCTTGTGAGTTCTTCGTGGTCCCAGTCTGTGTATTTCTGTGCAGGCCCGGGTTTCTCAGACATCATGAATCTGCAGCCTAATTTCCATGATACTTTATACAGAGTATAAGATATACTTGGACTTTTTCTGAAATCAATTTATTATTTTTTTAAAAGCTTAAATAGCTCTCTTCTTAATTCCGTATCTTATTGGTCCATCGTAGGTGATGGTGGGATTTGTCGTCACACGTTTGCACTCGCTCACAACAGAACAACATGATTGGCCAGGGTCACTCCCCGCACTTCCCTTCTCCCCTCACATCCCTCCCCACTCCCTTCCCCCTCCTGACCCCCTGTGGACTTTCCTCCTTTCCCTTTCTCCTCTCTGCCTTCCACATGTGGGGACACATAAAACTTGGACTTCTGAGTCTGGCTTATTCCCTTAACATGATGGTCTCTAGTTCCACTCACTTTCCTGCAATGACATGATCTCATTCTCCCTTATGGCCCGTAAACTCCATGGTGCGTGTAGACCACATTTCCTTCATCTGTCCATCTGTGGTAGACACCTAGGCTGATTCCGTAACTTGGCTGTTGCGAATCCTGCTGCTGTAAACACGGTATGTACGTTTCACTGTAGGTGGTGATTGATTCTTCAGGGTAGATGCTGAGGATGGTGCTGCTGGGTCATAGGATGGATCCAGGCCTCGCCTTTGAGTCCCTCCACGCTGACTTCCACAGCGGTTGTACTTACAGCCCAGCCACAGTGTAACACTGCCCCTTTTCTCTGCATCCTCTCCAGCATGGTTATCTGGTTCTTCGTGACTGCCCCTGGGCCTGGTTTGAGATGAATCTCGGGTAGTTTTGATTTGCATTTCCCTAATTGCTAATGACGTTGACACTTTTTCATCTGTTTATTGGCCATTTATGCTCTTTGGGGGAAGTGTCAGTTTGGTCACTTACCCATTAAATAGCTACCTTTCGGAAGGCCAGTCACTTGCTACCAACATAAGGACCCTCCCCTCAAACAACCCAGAAACTCTTGGGGTTTTTAAGGCCTGGCTCACCCCCCTGTCAGGGTGGTGCAGGTGCTGCTGCCCACCTTTCTGCACTAGGCTTGGGGCCAGGCCCTGCACTTGACCCTGGGGGCCGGAAGTGAAGGCCCAGCTCCTGGTAGCCAGTTAGAGCCGAGGACAAGAAGGGGCCCTGGGTGGGGCCTGGAAAGTGCCTCTTCCGATGACCTGCCCTGGGGGAGTGTCCAGTCAGGGCTGGCTCCCAGTCACCTGTCCCTGTCCCCGAAGCCCACTCAGGTCTGGTGAGCCTCTTCCACGTCAGCCTCCCAGGCCTCAGAAGAGCCCAGAAGGCTCTGTGCAAACCGGGCGTCTGCAAGGCTCCTGGCTTGAGGTTTTGGAAGCGCCCTCTTCTCTCTCCTTCAGGTGAACTTTGGGCTTCAGATCCCTCAATGACTGAGTCATCTGCAGCTCTGTGATGCAGATGGCTCTCCACTCATCCTGTTGTCCTTGACAGCAGACAGGAGAGCGCGTGGGCTCTGCCTTCAGAACCCCGGCAGGGCGGGCACTGTTCTAAGGGTGGGGAAAGAGAGACAAACAGAGCTTCTCCTTTTGTTTGGTGGGAAAGACAGGAAGATTAACAAACACGGAAATAGAATCAGGGCTGAGACACCAGTAAGCGTGGACTGCAGTTAGAAAACAGAAGGGGCGTCAGACCTGAGCAAGAGACGCCAGAAAGGCTTCTTGGAGGAGGTGACACTGAAGTTGACCTTGAAGGATGAGCAAGAGCTTTCTAGATGATGGCGCTCAGGCCAGGTGTCCTGAACCTGGGGGCGGCTGGGGGTGAGAAGGAGCTGAAGTTTTCTTAGTGGCTGCCCAGATGGACTGGAGCTGCACAGGCTGCATTTCCGGGATGTGAGTGTGACCTTTGTGCCATAGAGAGCCGTTCATTTGGGATGCTCCCTGCTCTCCCCGACTCTGAAGGCAGCAAGTCCCTCTGTGTGTCCCCCTCCTCACCTGGCACTTAGCTTAGGACAGTGCCTACAGCCAGTGGGCACACTCCAGGGCTTGTTCAGTGAACACAAGCCTCATGGTCAGTGCGGCCTCTGCGTGGCATGGAGTTTGATGGGCAGTGAGCACTTGGATGTGGGCAGCTTCTGCAGGAGCCGCCGCCAGGCACTTACCCTCCACCCATCCTCTTGCTTCTCCCCTGGGGACAGCTGCGGCTGAGCTGAGGGCAGTCCTCACTCTGCATGTGGGTGCAGCTCTGCGTGCCTGATCCCCAGGGGCCAGAGCAGGGAGGGCTGCCCCTGTGTGTCCTAGCCTCTGCCAACGCGGAGCCCAAGCAGCTCCCTCCTGGAGAGAATGGACACGCGGGACTCTCCAGACCCTCTTCTTCTCCTTCCTCTCGAGTTGGCCACTGTCTGCAGGAGGGCAGGAGCTCAGCTGGATGGGGGAAGCGTGCTGGACACCACTGGCCAATGCTGCTGTCCTGCACACCCCCAGACCCACAGGCACTGGGCCTCCGTGGCCATGAAGCCAGGACCAGCCTCTCCAAGTTCTCCTCCCGAGGGCCAGTGACCCTTGCTGTAGAGCTGGGCAGGACAAAATCTGTGGGCAAAAAGCTCCAAAAGACAAGGGCCGGGAGGTGCATGGTGCACGGTGCAGACTCTGTGGCTCCCTGGGTCCTGTGGCCTGGACTCCTGTGGGCAGGGCCGCGTCCACACACAAGTGCATTGCCTCCCACTGCCCAGTCTCCGGAGCTCCGTGGGGAAGGCTGGAGCAGCCTGTGCATCTGCCCTCCCCACCCCCACCCCCACCCCCACTTGGGGCTTTGGCATTGACCCCCTTATTCTTGGACCACCCCGTCACCCAGGCCTGGGCTTGTGGGCCACCCCCTGTGGCATTGCTGTCTGTCCATCATCTAGAGTGGACTCCAGGCAGGGCCCCAAACGCTGGGACATCATGAGGGCCCCATCCCAGGGCAGGCCGGCTCCCTGCGATCCTGGGCTTGTCTCCATTGCTGGCTCAGTGCAGGTGTGACCCCCGGGTCCACAAATGTGCAGGAGTGGCCAGAGGGGAAGGATACATGGAGCCAGGCGAGGCAGGCTGGCCGGCCCCCGACCGTGTCTGACCCCACCCTGTCCCCTGTGCTCTCTCCTTACAGGCTCCCCTGGCCACGCCGGCTCCACCTCCATGAGCCCGTCAGCAGCCCTGTCCACAGGGAAGCCCATGGACAGCCACCCCAGCTTCACGGACACCCCTGTGAGTGCCCCACGGACGCTGAGTGCGACGGGGACCCCCCTCACTGCTCTGGGCTCCCCGTACCGCGTCATCACGACTGCCATGGGCCCACCCTCGGGGGCGCTGGCGGCCCCTCCAGGAGTCAGGCTGGTGGCCCCACCCAGCTCTCAGGTAGGTACTTTACCTGCAGGAGCGCGCAGCCCCCGAAGGCTCACCCGGGGGCCCGGAGCAGAGCCGCTGCTGGGCACATGCATGCGTGGTGGTGGTGGTCTTCCCTGCAGGCAGCCCCCTGTAGCGTCGGGCCCTGCCTTCCAGCTGAGCAGTCCCGGGAGTGGATGACTCCTCGGGGCCCAGGAGAGGGACGCCACCCAGGTAGCTCTGGTGGCTCACCCCTGGCTGTGACATCCTGCCTCCCAGGCCTGTTTTGTTGTTGGGAACGTGGCCCCCTGTGTTCTCAACCTGGCGATCGATGTGGAGGCGGTGAAGTGCCCACGCTCTGGTTAGAATTCAGAAACCAGCAGGACCTGGTCTCTGCTCCTCCCCCAGGCGTTCAGTGGAGAGGGGAGAGGCAGGAGCTGCACATGGACCCCCCAGAGCAACACAGGTCATGTTACATCCGTGCCATCTCCAGCTGTGTGCACAACAGCGGGGAGCGAGGCTGGGGGGGGAGCCTGCGAAGGGCCAGATGCCCTCCCCTCCTGAGCAGCGGCCCTGCCCACTTGCTGTGGCTGCAACAGTGCTGCATAAAACGGCTCCCGAATCAGGAGGCCTGCAAAAGCAACCCTTGGTCTCCCACTCTTCTCAAGCCTGCTGTGCACCAGGAGGGCTCTGCTTCAGACGGCAGGCGTCCTGGGCTCTGTGCAGGCTCGGGTCACCCACAAGGGCAGTGCTCCTGGGCATGCTTCCCAGGGTGACTCACAGAGTGCAAAGGCCAAGCCCAACCCAGGGCGCACAGCGAAGCCTCTGCACACGGCATGTGGCAGATGCCAGCACTGACGGCAGGAGGAGGCTGTCCCTGCTAGTCACGGCACAGGACGGGAAGCCTTAGGAGGAGTGACAAGCTAGGAAGGACAGCCCCTGCGCGCCACACCTACTAGGTGGTCTCTTCCTGGGTAACAGCCAGCATCACTGCTGCCCACTCCCAGCACAGCTCGGGCAGCCGGTCACGGTGGCCAACCTCCCCAGGCCACAGTGCCACCAGATATCTGGTCAAGCCTTGTTCCAGTGTCTCTGGATGACAGGTAGACCAGGCAGAGCAGACTGCCCTTGTGGTGTGGGGGCGGGGGCCCGCAACCCACCAGGTCTGAACAGACCTGAGCAAGAAAGAGCCCTCCTGCCTGACGTCCGCAGCCTGGGGCTGGTCTTGTCCTGCCTCTAGGCTTGAACAGAAACACGGGCTCCTCCCGGGTTGAGCCTGCCGCTCTCAGACCACACGGCATTCCCAGGACCCGAGCTTGCCGACCCTCTCTGCAGATCTTGAGGCGTGGCAGCCTCCAGAGCCACACGGGACAATTCCTTATCCTGGCCCAGAGGAATCTCGTGCAGGGGTGCCACGTCGAAGGCACTATTGTAGATGAAGGAGCAGGGAGGGCTGTGACCTGCCTGACCTGTCGGCCTCTGTGGCAGCGGGGGTGCAAGACTGCTGGGGCATGGGGATGGACGTGGCCGAGCATGTGTTTATGCCACCCCACCCCGTGGCTCAGCAGAGCACAGGTGCCAGCCCTTTGGAATGCGTGGGGCGCGCTCACCTTCCTCCCTGTGCCGATTCCAGGAGGGAGGAACAGACAGACCTGCTGCGTTCTGGGGCGGGTGCACCACTGTGCGGGCCTACTGTGTGTAGGTGCTGCTCGTCGCCACCTGGATCTGGGGACACACGCTGAGCACGGTGGCCAGAGTCTTGTCTCACGGCAGTGGTGCTGTGACAGTCACAACAGACAAGACGAGGAATGAGTGCGGTCATTTCCCAGAGCAATCTGCTCTCTGTGGAGCAGCAGAGGGGAAGGCGGCAGCGGCAGGCCCCTGGGGCAGCGGAGGGCAGCCACTTCCCTCCAAGGCTGCCTTGAGCGACCACACTCCACTGACCAGCCCCGACCAGGGCACTCGTCTCTACAGCCGGAGTGGCAGGGCTGTCCTGGCCCCAAGTCCGCACAGTGTAGGGATGAGAGGTCAACTGGGAGCGTGGTCCTGGCCAACTGGGCCGTGTGCAGAGGCCAGGCCAAGTTTGGCCTTGGGAGCTAAATTAAGCTGCCAAGTGCTGGCAGAGCTGTGACCGGACACTCACCAGCCTTCAGGGCTGGGGCTCCGGAACCACCCGGCAGCGGAACTTTGCCCAACTCACCCGACTGCCCGGCCAGAAGGCCTCTGTGTTACCGCGGGTCGTGGACTCGGACCACTTGGGGCAGAGCTCCTGTGCACCGGGTCATCCTAGCCTAGGACTCGCCGGGGTGGGACTCGTGAAGGAAGCATGCTCCACCTGTGACCGGTAAGCGCGTTTGGGCGTGGAGAGGAGAGCCTGGGCCGGGGCAGCAGGCAGGCCTCCCCGGCCGGCGCTCTGCTGTGTGAGCGGCCGTCTGCTCCCCTTTCCATCTTGAGGAATTAGGGGAAGCTCGGGCGCAGGGGCAGGGACCCAGTGACCTTTTGCCAACCATTCAGCTGGCTCCTGCGGGCTTTCCTGTTCTCTGCTGGCGTTGCACATACTTGCCCTGGTCACCCGGCAGGGACTTCTGTGTCAAAGGGGACGTGGATTTGAGAAAGTGCTGTGCACAGTGCCCTGTGGCAGGCATGTGGTGACAGTGTTGTCCTTCCCATACCTGGCTGTCCAGGTGTAGCAAGCTGCCAGAAGGTTCTAGAGAGGTGCATTTCACATGCCTTCGTGGAACCAGGCCCAGGACTGGGCACTGGAGAGGCCCAGGCTATGTGAGGGTCAGTGCCTGCCTGGGAGCATGCTAGTGGACTGAGCGATCTCCAAAGACACCAGGTGGGTAACTGGGAACACACTTATGCCCTTTTAGAGAGAATGGTTTGGGCTGCAGTTTGTGTGTGTGTGTGTGTGTGTGTGAGAGAGAGAGAGAGAGAGAGAGAGAGCGAGCGCACGCCTGGAAAGATCCTACACGTCTTCAGAATCCTCCCTTCTGACCCTGCTGCCTGACCTGGTTCTGTCCTTACTAATTACTGCTTAGGAATTCATCGATAACTGAGTTATTATCCTCTCAAATCTGTTTATATTTTTATAGTAAATACTTAGATTTAAAAATTGCCAATATTAGAACTGGAATAGACCTTAAATTTCATCTAATCTGACGACTTAAAAAAACTTAAGCCACAGTCTTTTCTTCAAGTGAGAGCATATTAGATGACTTTACATGTCAAATGAAATCAGATTCGGTCAAGCAAGGCACAGGAGATGTGAAACCTCAGCCTCCCCACTTCCTGCACACACACACACACACACACACACACACGCTGTAGATTTGAACAGCCTGGACCCACCCTAGGGATGGGGAAGTGGAGTCTCTGTGAGGTGAAGGACTTGGTCAAGACCACACGGTGAGTCAGGGGCAAGTCCAGACCAGGAGCCGGGTGGAAGGTCCAGGCCTGTCAGTCCTTGTGAAGAGGACCCCGCCTGGACCGCAGGACAGCCCATGTGTGGGTTCTGCACGCGGGAACAGCAGCTCCTGCTGCAGCCAGGCCTTTGGAGTACACGGAGCTGCAAACGGCTCAGCAAGGTGGGACTGGCATCCGTGGAGGCTGCCGGAGCATCGAGGAAGCAGCGGTCCCCGCTGAGTCTGCAGACGAAGACCAGCCGGCTGCCCAGGGTGTTTCTGCCGAGGGCTGGGGAGCGGCCAGCCTGCTTGGAGAGGCAGACGCACCCCCTGTCTGGTGAACCCCTGCTCTGAGGTGCCCTGCACAGCGGAGCGGGCTCCAGTGGAACAAGAGGGGCGGGCAGAAGACTCCAGGCCGACAGACCCGCGCTCTGACGGGACGTAGAGCCACTGCGCTCTAGGTCCACCCAGTCCCCAAGTCAGCCAGAGAGAGGGGAGAGAACACCAGCCACCTGTCCCACCACTCTGTCCTCTCACCATCTGGACTCATGAAGAGGTGTCGGAGAGGGGCTGGCTCAGACTGGGGACTGTGCCAAAGCTCTTCCAGGGGGTCCTGGCCCAGGAGGTGGGGTGGGAAGCTGCTGGAGCAGGCGGGGACCGAGGTCCTCTTGACACCCAGGTCGATGACCTGGATCCGGAGCGTAGGGTTCTGGCTCCCGGCAGTTGGGCCTGGCTGGGCCTAACTGGGACCTGGGCAGGTGGAACAGCCTTGGGCTTCTCCTCAGTCCTCACGTCACTTGTTCTGTCTTCCTCGGAGGTGGACCTGCCCTTCTGTGTGCCACGTGTCCTGTCCTTCTCGGAGAAGGAGTCTCAAGGGCATGGCTCCTCTGCTCAGTCCTCGAGGGGCTCCCCGTTGCCTCCCAAACCATCGCTTCCTTGCTGGCCATCGAGAGCCTCCAGGCTCTGTCACAGCCCACCTCAGCCTCGCCTCTCAGCCTCGCCTCTCAGCCTCCCCTGGGCACGTGCGCTCCACAGACCCTGGGCTTCCCTCCAGGCCTTGCTCGGGAAGCCTTTGTCCACACTGGTCCGTCCAATCCTGCCCACTTTCCAGGGCTCAGTTCAAAAATTCCTGCTCCTGGAAGTCTCCCTGACCAGTAGGATGTGCTCCTTCTCCTTCCTCCTCAGCTGCCCACGGACTTTGATCTCGGTGGCCGGTTTGGGAGACAGTGCCGGCATCCCTCCTCTCTGTGTCTTCATGCCATTTCTGAATGAGCAAATCGACAAACCACTTTAGGGCCCAGTGTCCTCGGACATGAAATAGGAAGACCTCCGGGTTGTGAGGATTGAAAGAATTTAAGAGCCCCAAGCAAGGCTCTGTAGTGGTCCACAACAGGACCACTGTTCTGTGACAGCGTGGGCTGGCCGCACGGGGCTGTCCTGCTGCAGACGGGGTACGGGGGATGGCAAGGTCCTCTGATCCACGGTGGCCTCCTATCCCTCGACCTCTCTGCCCGTCTGAGGATTGGGGGCAGAGCCGCAGTGCCAGCTGACCTGGAGTCCCACCCTCTGGGGTGATCCAAGTGCTGATTTCCACCTTCTTGAGGTTCTCGGGCAGAGCCGAGGCCATGTGCAGGCGGGGGTCACTCTGCACCTGTGGTCCCTACCGTGGCCGTGCCCGGGTGCTGGGGAGCTGAGACACTGGGGATCAGGCTGTCCAGGTGGCAGGCAGCAGCGGTTTCTCTGAAAGCTCCCAGCATGCACCTGGGCCGGGGACCACGGTGCTGCCTCAAGACAGAGCAAAGGCGCCCACCCCGGGGCCATCAGCCTGTGACCTGAGGGGCCTCCCACCGCACGCGTGTAGCGGTTACACAAAACACGTCTTAAGAGCAATGGTGACTCTGTTTCAAAGTGAGGCACCAAAGGCTGTGTCTTCTCCCCATCCCTCATGCCATGCCCCTGGACCCTCTGTCCACTCCTGTGCTCCATAAGCATTTCCTTTGTGAACTGAAACGCCCGTGACTTGGAGAATCCCATTGCGGTTCTCTGGCTGGCTGTGTCTTGTCACTCACCCCTGCATCCCACAGCCCTGGAGTAGAGGAGGAGGGCCCAGCCCGCTCAGCCTGGGAATCGCAGCGGCCTTGGTGAGGAGGCGAGATTCAATAGCAGAGGGGACGGGGATGCCCTCCTGTGGGAGACCAACCTTGCACATGACTGGGTCACACTCCCCGGCTGGGTGCTGAGGTGCTCAGTCACAGAAATGTGGCAGAGCTTTCTTTCCCCACCCTTCTTGGGTTCCAGGGTCAGTGTCTCGTGCACGGGTGTGTCTTCCTACAGCCCCGTGGGTGGAGTTACGCTCACCTGTTCCTTTGTAATATAACCCCTTGCCCTGGTTAGGATAGAATCTTCCATGGAAGTGCCTTGTGTGTGTCCCCTTCTCTTACTGTGCCCTTGGGTGTGGCCTACCCAGGTGTCAGTCAACCTGCTGACAGTGGACATCATGAAGATAGACTCAGCCCCCTCACCTGACCCCTGGCCTCATTTGAGTAGCTTCTCCTCAATAAAAGGGGTCAGCGCGTGCTCTCGCTCGCTCTGTTCCTGTGGACCCTTAAGGTCAGAGGAGCCGTCACAGCGACCCCAAAGCAAAAGGTGTTTGTGTCTCTTGTGGGGTTATTCTGTGCAGCCCAGTCAGCCCAGTTCAACTGGAGTGACCCCTGAGCCTTTTAGTCGCGAGAACAGAAACCCAGCACCCTCCTTCAGCCCTGGACGGCCACGGGGCATCTGGGGACACGCGTGCACCACCAACCCTGCTCTACCTTCTGGTGCTTGCCCCTGTTCTGGCTCCTCCATGGGACTGTGTTTTGCAGATGGGAGAGAGACCCAGGTTTTGTGCCTCCTTCTCAGTGCTGGCCCAGGCCCAGGGGCACCCAGAGGAACTTGGGATCAGTCTCACGTTTGTTAAGGTGTTTTCTCCGGTGGACATAAAACACTGAGCAGCGACTTCTCAGTCACCTTCCAAGAGCACTGGATGCTGCGGGGTGGGCGGGAGCTGGTGGGAGGCAGACGGGAGGCCAGCTTTGCCCGCTCTGCCACCTGCTGGCCCCACATCGGCGCTGGAGAGAGGAAGCAGCACTGTCTGCAGGTTTTCTGCTTTCGTGGAGGGCCATCTGTTACTTACAGACAAGTTCAAATACCTACCCTGGGGCCCTCGACATGATTTCGGTGCTTCTGCGATGATGGGGCACTTGGTGGCATCTTCAGTGGGCTCGTGGGGTGAGCCTGCACCTCCCTTCCTCTTCACAGTGAGCTCCACCAGGGTGTGCATTTGTGTCTGCCTCTGTGCCCCGGAGCCGGGCACAGTGTCTGGCCTGGTGGCACAGCTGACACTGTCCCTGCCAGCAGTGGGACAGTGCGACCCGTGTGCGACCCGTCTCTGTTCGCCAGCAGAGACGGAGTGCAGTAACCTGGGTCAGGGTCGCCTTCCTCTCCTGCGTGGCTTGTTGCCTTAGGCTGACGTCCCAGAGGCAGTTCCCGACCTCTGTGCTGGGAACGGCTCCCTGATGTGAACCTGTGTCTCCTGCAGCGCGCTCCCTGCCGCAGGCCCGGGCACAGGTCCACTCTGGCCAGGCTTACTCGTGTGTTTTCTTCCAGCTCAATGTGGTCAACAGCGTCAGCAGTTCGGAGGACATCAAGCCCTTACCGGGGCTTCCTGGGCTGGGAAACATGAGCTACCCGTCGGCCAGCCCCGGATCTCTGGTTAAACACATCTGTGCCATCTGTGGGGACAGATCCTCAGGTACGTGCAGAAGCAGGCCCCTGAGGAGGGGAGGCCACCCTGCACCCTGGACTCTTTGCCCACAGGAAAGGGAGACACCCTCCAGCCCTAAACTCCTGCCAGTGGGCTCACAGCCTGAGTCCTGGGGCACCTCAGTCTGGGTCCTCTCCCAGGACGGGGCTTCCTGAGAGCATTTCAGGAGCCCCTCTGCAGTGGCACCGTGGCTGTGTGGATGGTGAAGAGCTGCACTCATCAGCTGGAGAGCCTTGATTTTTAAAAATCAATTTTATGATCATAAAATGTCCCAAATAGATAATTATAAAAGCAATAGTCATTGCCAAAACTTTGAAGAATTGGAAAACTACAAAGGAAAAGTAAAAGATTCCCATAAAGTCCCCAAGACAGACACACTCTTTCAGACTTTAGCATATTTTCTTTTGTGGCATCACAGATTTTTGACGTCTCTACGGGCATGCACAGATGTGCTTGACTGACTTTGTCTTCTTTGATCCTCTTTCCTTTTTGCCCAAATTATTTTTTGGTTGCGTCCAACTCTGCTGTGGTGGTCTGAAGAACGAGAAGGCAGGGAAGGTCCTGGCTGGTGAATATGGCCTCGTGTTCCCCACCCCCGGCTCCTACAGGAGGCCACTCTATTGAAAGTCTCAGGTGCTGGAGCGTTTTAGCCAGTGACTGACAGTGACTTGCCCAGGAAGTCAGTTCCAAGTCCTGCAGGCTGGGCCACTGCCGGCCACCGCCCCGCGGGCATCTCCCGGCTTGGGTCACTTCAGCTACAATGTGGAGTTTGCGCTCATGCTGCAGAGCCAGGGGGTCTGCCGCACGGTGGGTGGAGGGGTCCTGTGTTTCTTAAAGACAATGTGTCAGAGCTGAGAGCAACAGGTGCTTTGAGCCCACGAAGAAACCCTGGGCTGGTCACTGCTGGGGACTGGGGAAATCTGCCTGGTCATCTACTTAGCCCAGGCGGCCCTGTCATGGGCCACCTCCAGCCGCCTGTCATCGGGGGCTTCCTCTGACATGCAGCTGCCCGTGTCTGCTAGTTCTCAGGGACTCCGGCTCCCTGCAGCGTCAGAGCCCCAGCTCCTGGTGTCCCCCTCGCCCAGCAGTCAGCCCTGGGCCTTGGTGAGCGGCTTCCTGGTGCTTGTTGAGTTCCACTGCGTCAAGCACTTGGCAGGGCAGTGTGGTCACTCCGCGATGCCCGGGTGGGGGTGGCCTGCTGTCCCGCCAGACACATGAGCCATTCCCGCGGGGGCAACTGGATAATAAAGCAGTGTGGCAGATTATTCTAGATAAGCGGAATCTCCTCTGTCAGATCTTTGTGTACACCTCCAGGTGGAGTGTCCGCTGAGCTGTAAAGATCACGTGCCCAGTTGCTCATCAGCAGGCACTAGCGCTTCAAGACTCGTGGCATGGGATTCTGTTCATGGTTCATGGCACAGGACACTGATTTTAAGTGGGGCTCCTAAGCCTCAGCTCCCTTTTGGAGAAAGGCTAGTTGGGCCGAGGTCCTTCTCCTGCTAGGTCATGCCTGGTGGGTAAACATGGTTTTATTGACCACATACACCCAGATCTCCAACTGAGGCAGGACGTCGGCTTAACCAAATCCAAGAGTTGTTTCTAGAAATAAAGTCAAGTCCCGGGCCGGGTGCTTTCTAACCAGGCCATCGGCCTTCTGGGAAGAGGGAGGGCAAGGGGAAGGGCGCCCCCCCCCCCCGGCCTCAGCTCTGTTCCGGACACCCAGCTGCGCCTGGGCTGCTGTTGTGTGGGTGCCCAGGGCACGTGACGGGAGAGCCGCGGGCATCTCGGAGTGCACAGGGAGCGACCTGACTTGTCCATTTCTGGTGGCAGGAAAGCACTACGGGGTGTACAGCTGTGAGGGCTGCAAGGGCTTCTTCAAGAGGACCATCAGGAAGGACCTGGTCTACACCTGCCGTGACAACAAGGACTGCCTCATCGACAAGCGCCAGCGCAACCGCTGCCAGTACTGCCGCTACCACAAGTGCCTGGTCATGGGCATGAAGCGGGAGGGTGAGCGCCCCTCGGCGGGCGGGCACTGTGTGTCGGGGACACGGGGACAGAGTGGGGACTGGTGGGAGGAGACGTGGACGTCAGGTGCCCGTGGGTGCTGCGGTTTCTCAAGAAAATGTGCTCCTAGAGCAAGAGGCCAGGGGCACCGTCCTCCTCCACGCTCACCATCCTCCCCGGGGCCCAGAGAGTGAGCCCACACTGACCCTCTCCCTCTGCCTTCCTGTACCTAGCCAGCAGGTCTCAGGGTGAGGTGTCTGCTCCTTGCTCTGGTCTCTGATGGAGGTCTTCAGAGCTGAGGTGTCCTGGTCCTTGCTCTGGTTCCTGATGGAGGTCCTCAGAGCTGAGGTGTCCTGGTCCTTGCTCTGGTCTCTGATGGAGGTCCTCAGAGCTGAGGTGTCCTGGTCCTGGTCTCTGATGGAGGTCCTCAGAGCTGAGGTGTCCTGGTCCTTGCTCTGGTCTCTGATGGAGGTCCTCAGAGCTGAGGTGTCTGGTCCTGTCTTTGCTCTCCCCATGGAGGGTCACACCGAGCCTCTTGGTGGAGGTACCTTCTCCCTTCCGGCCCTGGGTCTCTGGGGAAGCTGCCCATACTTGTGACCTTGGTCTGCTACAGACCCTTGGGCATTGGAGAATCTGTGTCTTTGGACTGCTGGCGTTACAGGTGTGACAGTCGTGGCCTCACGGGGACCTTCTTGGTGCGTTGGAGGGTCACATCTCTAATGTAGGTGGGCTGCTCTGGTGCAAGAGGAAAGGAATGGAGGTGGGATTATTGCTCCTTTATGGGATTGAAGAGTCCACTGAGCAGCCGGCTGAACGGAAGGGAAGCTAATGCCTGAGGACGGGCAGCCGTGTCCTGTGCTGGTCCTGGGCCCTGGTGCTGGCGTGTCGTGGGGTCTGGAGTGAGGGGTCCCCCATCTGGCAGCAAGTGACCTTCCTTCCGTGAGGAGCAGGGCAGTCTGACAGGAAGCATGGAGGCAGGGCGAGGTCCTTGAGCCTCTGAGAAGAGGGAATGCCACCCAGAAGGGGTCGTGTGGAGAGGGTGGCTTTCAGGGTCACCTGTCCCCGGGAGCATTTCACAGTGGAGCACTCAGGCCCGGAGAGGTGAAGGTTTCCCAGGTCCGTGGCAGGAGACGAGTGGTGCTGGTCCCCACTCCCCTGTGCTCAGCTCACGCGGCCTGTCCTGGCAGGAGGTGAGGAGCTCAGTTGGCCTAGCCCTCGGGCTCAGGGGAGCCTGGGGTGTGGCAGCCCCGAAGCTGAGGTCCTGGCGTCCCGCTGCCTGGCTGTTCAGCACACACCCGCCTCAGGAGAGGCCACCCTCAGTTGTCAGACCACCCTGACCTCCTCCTCCTTCACCACGTCCTCCTTGTGAGGTGTCCAGGCCGTGTGTGTCTGGGCCCCTCTGTCTCAGCGCCCCTCTGTCTCAGCCTTTCTGGCCTCTTTCAGGCCCTCGCATTAGCCGGGCTGCTTCCGCCCCAGGCCCTTTGCCCGGGTTGCTCTCCCTGCCTGGGTGCTTCCTCCCGGCATCCGTGTGGCTGGCCTTATCTTTCCTGCGTCTTTTCTTAGCTACTGCCCTCTGTGCAGAGCCTCGCCTGGCTGTGCCCTCTAAACCTGCATCAGCGAGATGCACTTGTCTCTCTCTGCGGCACTCACTGCTGCCCGACACACGTGACGGCCTTGCCTGTCTGGCTGCACGTGGCCAGGTCCCCTTGCCTTTGACTGGCGTTAGAGCCGTGCCAGGAATTGGGCATGTGACGTGCAATGGCAGCTGTTGGAGTGGTCCTCCTCCCACAGGGTACAGGTGATGTCCTCATAGCTTCCCCACCACGAGGGTCGAAGTGGACCTGGCACGGCCATCTCCTGAAAGAAGAAACAGAGGTTAGAGAAGTTAGGGATCTTGCCAAGCTGACACAGCAAGCAAAGGGCAGAGCTGGTAGAGGATTGGGACCCTGGGACCCCCAGCCCCCCTTGGGAGTTCTGGAGAAGCTATTCCCAAGACTCTGGCCATACAGGTCGTTTCAGGGTAGAGGATGGGTATCTCGTCAGCCCTTCGTAGGCAGCTGTGGCAGGCTGGGGGCCCCGGCAGTCATGAACACGACTAGCCCAGGCCTTGGGGCAGAGCAGGTTCAGGAAGGGTTTGGGCACAGCCAGCCTGCGTGACCTGCTGCGCCTACCAGCCCCGGCTGCCTCTTGGGCTCAGGGACCCAGCTTCTCTGGTTCCAGACCCCACAGGGGTGTTGCGGAGTGAATGGAAGGCAGTCTGCATAAAGTGCTGAGCAGAGCGCTGACACACAGCGGAGCCTCATGTCTGGCTTTCACTGTGAATTCACAAAAACCACCTGCTGGAGAGTGGGGGGACCCGGGCCAGGGCGGGAGCCTGCCCATCCCAGATGGCCCGCCGTCGTCCTGGTGTGTCCTGCCGTCCAGAGCAGCAGCTCTGACTGCTGCACAGCGGTGGCTGGCAGCAGGGGTGCGACCCCTCCTTCAGGACGGGGAGGTTCACGCTGCGAGTGGAGAAGGAGCCGCAAACAGTGGCTCAGTTAACGGCAAAATCAGAGTCGAATTCCCTGAAGCCGGGTCACTTTCTGTGAAGCTTGAAGGTGATTTTTCTTGAGTGTCACTGGATTGAGGTCCACAAAGGAGCCTCCCTTAGCTTGCTTCCCGTGTCTCCAAGTCAAGAGGACGGAGGCCCTGAGAACAGTTAACACGGGACGGCCTCGGCCTCAGCCTTAGATCCACCTACGAGGAGAACGCAGACTGAGATGTCCACAGGGTCCCTGGATGAGGGCCGAGGAGGGAAACCAAGGACGAGAAAGGAGGACAGGGAGGAAGAGGCCCGCGGGGCCAGGGGCTGGAGAGGACCACAGGCGAGCCCAAGGGCTGGAGAGGCCAGGGCAGAGGACGTGGCTGCTCTGTTGAGCTGCCGCAGTGCCTCACGGGTCCTCCCAGATCACTGCAGTGGCCACCGCTTTGCAGATAGGGAAACCAAGGCCCCTAGCAGGGAGGGGTGGACCTGCCTGTGGAAGGTCCCTCCCCTCCCAGGCACAGGCCCCTGCCCCTGCTCTCTGCCTCTCCTCACGGCCTCCCGTCCCTCCCACCCCTCCCCTGCCCCCATCACATATCCCCATGTCCCCAGGCCTCTGGGTGAGTCTGCTGGGCTTTGGAGCCCAGTGGTGTCTTCCAGGCATGCCCCATCTGGCTGACCTTGAGACCAGCCATGTCCCTGGCACTACAAGGTCAAAGTCAGCCCCTGTGCCTGTCCAGCCTGCTTGCCACAGTTGAAGTGGACTGTGTGGGGAGGACAGAGGAGAATAGAGGCCAAGGGCCAATGCAGTTGCAGAGTGCAAGGTCAGCGGCCAGTCACGGAGTGCAAGGTCAGTGGGCCAGTCACAGAGTGCAAGGTCAG